GGGGGGTTGACAATGCAAAGTAAAAAATACTTAATGTGATTAATTATTTTATATTTAAATAAATATATTTATGACAATTATTGTGTAAAGATTATGTATTATTATATAAATATTAAATTAATAATTCATTATTAAAATGTGATATTATTTTTATTTATTATTGGTGCTTAAACCAAGTGTAAGCTACATTTGGACATGTGGACGTGGGCTTTTCGAACTGTACCAGTAAAACCTTGAACATCCTAGCAACTGCATATGAACATACTAAAACAATTCAAAACAACTTGGAAATCATATAGCAATGCACTGCCAACCAACCACAACACATTAGCACTGAAATAGCAACTTTTACACAAGCATCAGAGCTCATATATTCTTTAGAAACAGAAAAAAAAATCTATTTATAGACATCTGTAGTATATGTAATAAATATTTACTGAACATTATTATGTAATTACTTGTGATTATAAGTAGCACACCTTTGACAAAGAAAGCAGACACATACAGTAACACAGACCTAAGGCCTCTTAAATGTAAGTAAAATTTAACCTTGATCTACTGGAGTTGAACTAATATACACAGAAATATTTCTCATCAGCTCTTTACATGTGAATAATGATGTGCTAAGCATAATTAACAGCACTTTTTCCCCTCATACTTGCCTGACTCACTAATGAGTCCATATATCTCTGGATTTCGAGCCTTGGTGTAATACATGAAGAACAAAGACTTCGGGCAAACTTGCTGCCACTGAATAGCGTTTTGAATCTAGCATATGCATTTAGTCAGTCATATCAGCGTATGTTGTATTCGTTTGCACACATATGCATTTCAGACTGGCTAGAAACCTGTGATAATTCATAGAGAGGCCTGGCTGCTGCTAGACCCGAATATGTCTGTTCATTTCTAAAGTGAAATGAGGAATGGGTAGCGTGAAGCTACAATGGGTACATTAGGGAGGTGCTGAAGTCTCTCGGGGAACCGTTGCTCTGTTTGTGCGCGCGAGAGAGGACGAACTGTGCGTGCCTGCTGCGTGCACATGCATCGAGAGCGGCTGATTGCACACTGCCACTGCATGTTTACTAAAGCAGCAAAATAAACACCATCTGATGAACTGAGCCAAATATGTAGCCTTATTGATAGCGCTGGACTGATGTGATGATTTGATGAAAGTGGGTATTATGGCTCGATGTTTGGATAAGGAGATGAGGAGATCAGGGGTTATGGTGACTGACTGATTTGTCATGAGGACAAGGTTGAAAGGTGAAACCACCTCCATTTAGACTGTTAAAGAAACAGTTTGTTTGCTCATTATGGTGTTCTGAAAGAGTATGCTTTTTTATTGTTTATTTTATTTATTTATTTATTTTTTAAATTGTTTTGTTCTCTTTTAAACTTTTTAAGCTTTAAAGAATATTTATGTTTTTTGTTTTGTTTTCATACAATGACAGTTACCACAACTGGCAATACTGAATGTGTACTTGTAGTGTGCTTCAAATCTTTAGATAGATAGATAGATAGATGGATGGATGGATGGATGGATGGATGAAGATATGATAGATAGATAGATGGATGGATGGATGGATGGAT